GTTGGCCCGTGTAGAATGAATGCCGTTTGACACCGCTTGAAGCCAAAGCCGTGGGACCGGGAGGTTGTCACTGAGCGAGACACCAGCACTTTTCGGCAGAGGAGGCTCAAGACCTTGTCAAACTACAACTCTCACCGGGTCCCATAGCATCCATCCCCTATTGCATCAATCCTCTGTTTCGCCCATTCTAACACAGGAAGCTCGACACGCTTTATTTTGAAGCCACTGGGGAATTTCGCCCAATCTCAGGAACGCGGAAAAACAATTTCCTTTCCACCAAGAGGAGAGAGAGAAAAAGGCCGAACAGGTGCAGTTCTCCTTGTCAATTCAATCCTGATATGCCATTTAAAATCGCGTTTAGAAATCCCCGTCAGGGAACAGACTTGATACAGAAGTTGCAAATCATTTCCTTAGCAGAGTTAGGGTGGATCTACACTGCCGTAGAATCCACATTAATCAAATAATCCAGATTATGGGTTATCTGAGTCCACACTGACATATATTCCGATTCAAAGCAGATAATCTGGATTTTATATGGCCGTGTAGAAGGGATCTTAGGGCCCTTCCACACAGCCCTATAACCCAGAATATCAAGGCAGAAAAATCCCACAATATCTGTTTTGAACTGAGTTATCTGAGTCCACACTGTCACATAATCCAGTTCAAAACAGAAATTGTGGGATTTTATATGGCAGTGTAGAAGGAGTCTTAGCTGACTTTTGAATAAGATTCTATTGGAAATGTGGGCTCTCTTCGCACTGGAAGGTCGTTTGTTTTCCTTTTTAGTGAAAGAGCATTGAGTCAATAATAACAATATTTTTTTCGTGTCAGAAGTTACTTGAGAAACTGCAAGTCGCTTCTGATGTGAGAGAATTGGTCGTTCTGCAAGGACGTTGTCAGGATGTATTGCTGTTTTACCATTCTTGTGGGAGGCTTCTCTCATGTCCCCGCATGAGGAGCTGGAGCTGACAGAGGGAGCTCATCCATGCTCTCCTCGGATTGGAACCTGCGACCGGTCGGTCTTCAGTCCTGACGGCACAAGGGTCTAACCCACTGTGACACCAAGGGCTCCTTATAACCATAATAATACGCAACAACACTGGCCAATACACACTTGGGTGCCTCAAATATTCGCCCTGTTTCTGGGTATATATTTGACCTGCCGATTCCAAAAACGGCACCAGTTTCCTCCTATTTGCTCTAGTTTTTGAGACACAGACCAGAATGCACCTACCCGCCTTTATCTACTCACTGATATAAAATCATTGGATGCGGTTGTGTCATCAAAGATCTTTGCAAAGATTGACTTCCAGGAAGTCCTTTCGTTTCCAAAATGCAAAACTTCTGGACAAAGTCAGAATTCTTCCATTTGGCGACCCCTTCGAGGACCACAGGAAGGTGTCAGCAGGTTGCAAGAAGAGACTTACTTCAAGCATTAGTGCCGGGTTAGTTTTATTTTACGACGGTGTTTACAATTTGATTAATGCAATCGGACTCAATCTAATTCTGCGAGCGAGTCGCCGGATGTTAAGTGGACTGAAAGGGTGGAGGCTGCAACCCGGAGCCCGTTTTACACGTGTTCAAAGCCACGCTGGATCCACGGCTCTGCAACTGGTGGAGAAACTCTCAATCCATGGATCGAAATCTAACCTATCTAATTCACACGATCTGTCTAACCGAGGACTGGCCAAACTCTGGCCTTCCTTCCAGGTGTTTTGGACCAACTCCCACCATTCCTAACAACCTCAGGCCCCTTCCTTTTCCCCTTCAGCCGCTTAAGCGGCCTGAGGCTGTTAGAAATGGTGGGAGTTGAAGTCCAAAAACACCTGGAAGGAGGGCCAGAGTTTGCCCAGGCCTAATCTAATCTATCTCATGACAGTAATGTATTCTATCATTTAGAGAATAGAACTGGCAGCAGCATCAGTCCCTCTCTCTCTCTCTCTCTCTCTCTTCTAAGGAGAGGCGCAACATTCCTCCGAGGCAGGATCAGGTCCTTCCCACGCGCGGGTCGGCAGATCGAATCAAATGCAAGCAATGCCTTGTTTACACATAGACATAAACACATATAATTACCATTCGCATATACGCACGTGCGCATTTGAGTGGATCAGGCATGGGCTGCTTTCAAGTTGACGTTCCTCTTCTTTTTATCTCTCTCTCTCTCTCTCTCTCTCGCTATTATATATATATATATATATATATATATATATATATATATATACTCACAGGAGCCCCTGGGGGCGCAATGGGTAGGACTGAAGACCAACAAACAGGTCGGAAGTTCGAATCCTGGCACAGCGCGGATGAGCTCCCTCTGTCAGCTCCAGCTCCCCATGCAGGGATATGAGAAAAGCCTCCCACAAGGATAGTAAAACATCAAAACATCCGAGCAACGTCCCCTGGCCAACGTCCTTGCAGACAGCCAATTCTCTCACACCAGAAGCGACTTGCAATTTTTCAAGTCGCTCCTGACCGGAGAATCTTCTTATCTATCTATATACATAAAAATGTAATGTTCGTTTGTGGGATTAACAGCACTCAAAAACCAATGGACGAATTGGCACCAAATTTGGACACAAGACACCTAACAACCCAATGTATGTCCTTCACTCAAAAAATGATTTTGTCATTTGGGAGTTGTAGTTGCTGGGATTTATAGTTCACCTACAATCAAAGAGCATATTGAACCCCACCAACGATGGAATTGAACCAAACTTGGCACACAGTTCTCCCATGACCAACAGAAAATACTGGAAGGGTTTGGTGAGCAGTGTCCTTTGGTTTTGGAATTGCAGTTCACCTACATCCAGAGATCACTGTGGACTCAAAACAATGATGGATCTGGGCCAAACTCTACATGAATACTCCATATACCCAAATGTGAACACTGGTGGAGTTTGAGGAAAATAGAATCTTGACATTTGGGAGTTGTAGTAGCTGGGATTTACCTACAATCACGGAGCATTCTGAACCCCACCAACGATAGAATTGGGCCAAACCTCCCACAAAGAACCCCCATGTGGGCCACAGCAACGCGTGACAGGGGACGGCTAGTATATAATAAAATGTAATGTTCGTTTGTGGGATTAACATAACTCAAAAACCACTGAGCAAATTGACACCAAATTTGGACACAATACATCTATCAGGCCAACGAGTGACCACCACTCATAAAAACACTGAAAAAACACAGCGGAAGAGACTTAAAAGCACCCAAAATAATAAAAAAAATACATTACAATCCATGCGCAAAACCACATATATACATACATACACACACCATCAGACAGACTGTGTAGACACACACAAACATCGTTTTGTTTTCTCTGTCTCGCTCTCTATGTATATATGTTAAGGGAGGAAAAAGGAAAGTCACCTCGACATCATTCCGCCTCTAATCCACTCGACCTCACTCACATGCGTGCATAGATACATCTCTATCTACATCTCTCTATATTTAATAGGCCATTCTGCGATTTCTCTCTCTGTATATACACGGGTGGGTCAAAAAGTTTTGCCTCCCGGGTCATAAAAGCGTTATGAATGAACACATAACAGCAGAAGTTGCTACAGATCATCACACTATGGAACCAAACCATTTGGGGGGGGGGGGGGAATCAGGGTTTCGCTTCCTGATTCATGATTTTAAAGCTGTTTGAACTGTCATTTAAGTCTTTGAATTTGAAACCAGGTAGGATGGGTTGCCGAAGGCTTTCATGGCCAGAATCACTGGGTTGTTGAGGGTTTTTCGGGCTATATGGCCATGTTCGAGAAGCATTCTTTCTTGACGTTTCGCCTGCATCTATGGCAGGTGTGTTCAGACCTAACCTGTAGAACATGGCCATACAGTCAGAAAAACCCACAACAACCCAGGTAGATTGTAATTCGGGGGTCCAAACATGTAAAAGTCCGAAGGGGCCAAAATCATAAACATTCTCCAAACAATTCTGGATTTCCCGAGGCGCGCATTAACCTTCTTTGGCCAGAAATTCAATGCCGGCTGTTTAAGCTTCAGATTCAAGGTTCTAACCAGTCCATCGGAAAAAGAAAATACTATATCAGGAGAAGAAGGTTCCCTCTATCATATCATGCTGTGAAAGGGATAAAAGTTAGAGCGATGGAGGCATTACTTTTTGACCCACAAGGATCCAACGAAAGGCAACGCAAAAGCATCGAATCCACGCGAGTCACTCACATGCACGCCTAGTCGCATAGACTGCCCGACTGCCTCATCAATCTATCTTCACACACGGGCATATTAAGGGATGAGAGCGAACTCCACATCATCCCATCTCCAACCCACGCAATCCACTCGTATGTGTCTATATGTATGTAAGGTAAAGGTTTCTCCTGACATTAAGTCTAGTCTTGTCCGACTCTGGGGGGTTGGTGCTCATCTCCATTGCTAAGCCGAAGAGCCGGCGTTGCCCATAGACACCTCCAAGGTCGTGTGGCCGGCATGACTGCACGGAGCGCCGTTACCTTCCCCCCAGAGCAGTACCTATTGATCTACTCACATATGCATGTTTTCAAACTGTTAGGTTGGCAGAAGCTGGGGCTAACAGCAAGAGCTCACCCCGTTCCCCCCGGATTCGAACCTGCGACTTTTGGGTCAGCCAGTTCAGCAGCTGTGTGCTTTAACCCACTGCGCCACAGGGGGCTCCGTGCATGTATGTATAAGGTAAAGGTTTTCCCCTGACATGAAGTCCAGTCGGGTCGGACTCTGGGGGTTGGTGCTCATCTCCATTTCTAAGCTGAAGAGCCGGCATTGTCCGTAGACACCTCCTAGGTTATGTGGCCGGCATGACTGTAAGGAGCGCCGTTATCTTCCTGCCGAAGTGGTTAGGGGAGAAAAAGAAGGACCGAAAGGAAGCCAACTCGAACCCAACCCGCTCCTGTTTCCCGCGAGAACGGCGGGAAGAAACTTTTTTTTCCCCCGCCCGCGGATGCCGGGATGGGTGGGGTGTGGCGAGGCGCCTTGGCCCTGGCCGGGGACCTACCTGGTGGTAAGGGCTGTAGGCGGCGGCGAAGTAAGGCTGCGGAGGACCATAGACTTGGTACATCACATCCAGGCAGCTCATGGCTGGAGGCGGCGGGGGCCAACCATGGAGCGGCGCCTCAACTCCAGGCCACAAGGAAGGAAGGAAGGATGGAAGGAAGGAAGCCCGCCCGCCCGCCCGCCCGCCCTCAAGCCCCTCGCCCCTTCCTCCTCCTCGGCGCCTTCCCTTCCAGCAAGGACATGCCTACGCCTATGCCTCCTCCTCCTCCTCCTCCTCCTCCTTCTCCATAAGGGGCCAACAGGTGCCCCGGGCGCCAGGCGGGAGTCCTTTAAGCGGCACGCGCGGCGTCAGGAGGGGCGGGGCGGAGGAGGGCCAATGGGAAGGCTCGAGAGGCACAGCCCCCCCCCCCCCGGGACCCTTGCTGAGCCCCGCTCGCGCGCACTGGGAGACCTCGTGCTCCTCTAGCAGGGAGACCCCCCTCTCCCCAGGTTTGCATTTTTCTCGCCTTTTGGAATTGAGGGGGAAAAAACGCCGCGAGAAAACTAATGGGGAAGGAAATGCTGGAAGATTTTAGGGTCCTTACAAAATTGGGCAAGTCACACTCTCTCAGCTTCAGAGGAAGGTCATGCAACTCAACCCACAGGGTGCATCGAAGGGACCGTAGAGGGGCCATGCAGCTCAATCCACAGGGTTCAAAGGGATTGTAGAGGCCCTGTAACCCAACTCAAAGGCTCCTTTCGCAGTACTGAATAAATTCCCCCAATATCTGCTCTGAACTGGACCAAATGGCGGTATGGACAGTTCAAAGCAGGTATTGTGGGATTTTCTGCCTTGATATTCTGGGTATATGGCTGTGTGGAAGGGCCCTAAGGCACAGCTGTCCAAAGCAACATGTTAGTAGTGTTTATAGTCCTGCAGTTTATAGGTGTGTGCCCATACTTGGGGGGGGGGGGGCGGCGCAACTGCTCATTGGAAGGAAGGATATTAGAAGCAAAGATGAAGTAATGAGAAGACAGGAAAGCTTGGAGAATACAATGTTGCTGGGGAAATTGAAGGAAAAAGGAAGAGGGGCCAACCAAGGGCAAGATGGATGGATGGCATCCTTGAAGTGACTGGCATGACTCTGAAGGAGCTGGGGGTGGTGACTGCCAACAGGGAGCTCTGGCATGGGCTAATCCATGAGGTCTCAAAGAGTCCGAAAGGAGGGAACTAATAAACCACAACACCCGCAAAAGTAAGGAGAACATATTCTTTTATAAAATATCAGGGAAAGGTTTTCATGAGATATGTTGTCTCCCCATAGGTTGGATCATTACCATTTATGTATGCATTTCCATCTCTTCCAAGGGATTGTCTTGCTAATAAAACCAAATTATTGGGTGGTGAAATGATGTATGCCAAAAAGTGTGTCACCATCATGAAATGTTTGGAAATCTCTGATATCAGGGACCTTAGAGGTCTTGCAACTCAAACCACAGGATGCATCTCAGGCCCCTTCTACACTGTCCTATATTCTAGGATCTGATCCCAGGTTATCTGCTTTGAACTGGATTATCTGGCAATGTAGATTTCTATAATCCAGTTCAATGCAGATAATCTATTATTTGCTGCAATAATCTGAATTATATGGCAGTGTAGATCCAGCCTTAGAGGTCCTGCAATCCAATCCAGCTGCAAGACCCACACTTTCTGATGTTGCTGGCTGTCCATTCTTTCCCCCCTCATTGTTATTTTGAATGGGTTTTTCATCCCTTCCTCTCCCATTTTTTGGAGCTGGAAAAATTCCTGCCTGGAGGAAAATGGCGGGGAAGTAAATGCTGGAAGATTTTAGGGTCATTAAAAGTTGGCCAGGTCAGGATCTCAGCCTCACAAGTCACGCAACCCAGAGATATTTGCACTGTTGTCAATAGAGCGTCTTGTAACCTTTGACATGTGTGATGAATGGCAAGGAGCTATTGCCCTGTCCTTGTTTGTGACTGTGATGGCAGTGGCTAGAGCTCTTAGCAGCCATTTTCACTAGCCTGTCAATTCAAGGAGCAGCAGAAAGCAGGAGAAACTGGTACCATCATTACCATTAACTACATTAGCATCATTAAAATATTTCTTTCCTGGCTGAGGATTTCAGGGCAGCAAAAAAACAAAAACAAAACAAAAACCACAGTAGTTTTGAAAGAATGTGGTGTAGTGGTCTGAGCGCTGGATTACAACTTTGAAAACCAGGGTTTGAATCTCCACTCAGCCATGAAAACCCACTGGGTGACCTTGGGCAAGTCACACTCTCTTAGCTTCAAAGGAAGGCAAAGGCAAACCCCTCTGAACCATTTTTGCCAAGAAGACTCCCTGATATGTCCATTTTAGGAGTGCCATACGTCTGAAAAGATTTGATAATAGATAACAACAACAATCGGTTTGGAACCAATCATGCCAGGAAAACCCCATGATTGGTTCTTGTTAAAGTTGTAAGTCAGAAAAAACTTGAAGGACACAACAACAAAGTGAATTAAATGACAACAAGATGACTGAAAGCCAGCTTCCCTGTATTAGACTGGCTGAAATTTACCCTGTATTTATTTGCAGTATTCTCCCTCTTGTTTATATGTATCTTGTATAGCACGTCATCTGCATTTTAATCAGTTTCACACCAGAATCACTAGGTTGATGTGATTTTTATGGGCTGTCTGGCCATTTTCCAGAAGCATTGTCTCCTGACATTTCACCCACATCTCTGGCAGGTATCCTCACAGGTTGTGAGGTCTGATGGAAACTAGGCAAGTGAGGTTATTCTGTCTGTGGAATGTCCAGAGTGGGAGACAGAACTCTTGTCTGCTTGTGGCAAGTGTGAATGTTGCAATTGGCCACCTTGATTAGCATTGAATGGCCTTGCAGCTTCAAAGCCTGACTACTTCCTGCCTGGGGGAATCTGTTGTTGGGAGGTGTTAGCTGGTCCTTATTGTTTCATGTCAGGAATTCCACTGTTCATTCATTGTCTGAAATTCTCACCATCTGAACTGACCAGATTCATTAGCAGGGCAAAGTCATTATCATATTGGATGTGGCAGTGATGGATTTGTTAAAGATGAGGAGCCTGTTAGGAGAAAAAGAGGCAGCCACTTTAAAGTAAACATTATATACAATGAATTACATAGGGATTGAAAGCCAGAGTTTTAAGAGCTCTGCATTTGGAAATCTTCTGCTGGGATAGGAAAATCTCTCAGTTTTGCTTTCTTCCAAATTGTTTTTTTCCCCACAATAGAAGTTTGAAATTTTCACCTTTTGGAGAATGCATATATATAAGAGTCTGAACAAAATTTCTACCTGCGTCTAGCCAAGGACAATATTAAACCACAAACTATCTTGATTGGCTTTCTCCAAACTTTCTTAAAGAAAATGTGATGCACATGAAATGGGACAAAAGTGAACTGGTGGCATTATACCACGCACATTAACGGAAGATACTGATGGTTTCTAACTGTGATTTCAAATATACTATTTGGCAAATGAATTATGATTTCAGTTCTTCATTCTGACTTTCCAGGAATTTTTTATACTCAGATTTGCAAAGTTATAAATTTGAATTGTTCCTTCAAAAAAGGAGGAAGAAATAATACCTCAAAGTAGCATCCAGCTATTTCTGTTTATTCATAGGTTATAATCACATGTTGATTATACTTTACTGGAATTAATGTTGGAAATAGCAACCTTCTACAAGCCTCCTATACTAGTAATTTGTTTGTATGTAATTCAGATTGTTTACTGTTTTGTATATGCGTGTATTGATATGTAGTTTTCCTTAACTCTGTGTTGCAAGAGGGGCTGCAGACCATGTGATTACATCTGGGACTATTCGGATATCAGACTCCATTTTAGAAACAGTATGCTTTTAGAAGTCAGTAGAAACAGATTACTTTACAGACTCTATTAGACTCTCAGAACAGAGAGATGCTCTACTCTAGACTATGGACTATTAAAAATCTAAGAAAGATGCCCTGTGTTATCTGCACAGAGAAACGACTTCAAATCCTATCTGTAACTGGATTGATATGCAAAGTACCTGTATGCTTAATACACAAAGTTTGTGAGTAAACCAACTATGTTATTTTAATGAAGATTATTTTTGGTCTCTTGAGAGCATGATTTGAACCAAGATGTTTTAAGGGAGAACAGATGTTTTTGGGCAACTGAAATAAAACTTCTGAAGCTCTGCTATATATTTTTGTGCATTGGCATATCTTTGTTCCTAACAGTTCAAAGATATATCTAGGTATATCAGTCTAACAGCTGAGAAACCTTATTGCCTTGCATGAATACTAGTGGATATTTACCACTAAGGAGAAAGTTGACTCAAGCAAGTTTTTAATTCTTCTCAGGAAGATCATACTTTGCAAAAAGTTATGATTTCTAACAAGGTCATGCCTTTCCAATATGTTATGATTATTCCAAATAGTGTGAATACCAATTGATCTCCAAAAGGATCACACTTCTAAAATTCTGTGGAGATTCCTAGTTTTCCCAAAAGGTTACGAATATGTCATTTTAAAAAAAATCAAAAAAATATCTAATAATCCAGTTCGGTTTAGTTTTGCAGCATGAGGATTATACTTAAAATAAATCCACAAAATAAACCAATTCAGTTTAGTCTTGCAGCATTAAATTCATTTAATTTAGTCTTACAGCTTTAACCTTGTATGGGTACTTTAAAATATATATAACTAAAGCAGTTATACCATTAACAGTCTGTACCCAAGCACTTTATGGGTCATACATCAGCACATGAAATTGTGTCTGGAAATGGACTACTTGTTAGTGAAGCTGGCTAAAAGCTCTCACCTCCCTCTTTTCTTGCTGTGAGAAGAATGTGCATTTTATATGGACAGGACTTGGTGGTTACCACTGACATTAACAAAAAAACAAAACATAACAAAAAAACCTTCAGCATACATTATTGAAATGTGTTTTATATGGGAATGCTCTTGATTAATGTATGAACTTCAATAAAGGTGAAATATGGTGATTAACTTATAAGATTGGGTTTCCAAGAGCAGATTGCAGCAATATTCCATCATCCATCTTGGCCTCCAAGTGATTTTTTTGGGCACAATTTATGAGGTGATTGATTGATAGATAGATAGATAGATAGATAGATAGACAGGATAGATAGGAGCC